GAGGGCTGGAAAGGGATTCCAGCTGCATCCTCAGGTACCAAAGGACAATAGGTATCCTCAAACCCTTAGTTACTTTCTAGGAAATGGGGCCCCCGAGGGGCTGGGGGAATTAAAGACTTACTGGTACAACCTCTAAGAAAAACTTGCTCCAGATAAGGTCTCCTGGTCCTTAATTGTTATTGTTATTGTTATTAACCCAACTCCTATGAAAAGCTGCCACAGCTCCGTTAACAACCGCAGGTCTGGGTTTAATTAATACCTCTGAAGGCTGAGTCCTCGGGCAACGTGTTGTCCGCCCCCACAACTCCACAAACAGGCTCCTCTCCCTCCTCTGACTCGGCTCACAAGGTCTTCTTCTTAGGCAGATCCTCCAGCGGTTCCTTTATTCTCTCCTCTGCCAATCACTGCTCTTCCAGCCCGTTCCCGGGCTTGGTAATCTCACAGATCTCCTTTGACCTTCTTTTTCCTTTTTCCAGCTACCAAGTTACCCGGTAGAGTCTTCAAGAATCAAGCCTCAAGGGCTTTGAAATCTGAGGTGCCCAGAATTCCCTAGCAGCCCCCAATTCTGGCCCTGCTTCCCGGGTCTCCTCTTGAGAACTTCTAGACACTTCTCAGGTGGTACAGCCGGTTGGGTGGGTTGGCTGGTTTAGGGTTACAGAGTTTGGCACTGACTCCAGCCCCTCTCGGCTGCTCTCTTAAATTAATTAATTCCAATTAAAGAAAAATCTCAATTGGACCTCAGTGCATGCCTCTGGGGCACATGTCCCATCAATTACAAACAAATTAACCCTACTACCTAACAGAATGAACCTCTTTGAAGATTCCCATACAACTGCAGCCTAAGGGTCTTAGAGGCCTCTGCTACAGACAGAGGCCAAACCCTAAGGAGGAATTTGGGCCCAGTACACTAAGGCCAGGGTTCCTCTCTGCCTTTCCTTAGTGAGCTAGGGAGTGAAGGTTTGTAGGTGGTGGCCTCATTTCTCTAGAGCAGCCGTTCTCAACCCGTGGACTTCGAATGACCCTTTCACAGGGGTCACCTAAGGCCATCAGAAAACACAGATACTAACGTTACGATTCATATCAGTAGCAAAATTACAGTTATGAAGTTGTATGGTTGGGGTCACAACATGAGCAACTGTATTAAAGGGTCACAGCATTAGGAAGGTTGAGAACCATTGATCTTAGGGCAAGACCAAAGTCTCTCAAATTTAAAAGTCCACCTCTCCACTATGGGAACTGGCCATTAGGCAAAGGTAAGGATGTATCTTGTCTGTTTATTTTATTTTTACTTTGTTTTTTTTTTTTTTTTTTTTTTTTTTTTCGAGACAGGGTTTCTCTGTGTAGCTTTGCGCCTGTCCTGGAACTCACTTGGTAGCCCAGGCTGGCCTCGAACTCACAGAGATCCGCCTGGCTCTGCCTCCCGAGTGCTGGGATTAAAGGCGTGCGCCACCACCGCCCGGCTTTTACTTTGTTTTTTGAGACAGCAGTTCTTGGTGTAGTCCTGGCTATCCTGGAACTCACTCTGCAGACTAGGCTGGCCTAGAACTCACAGAGATCTGCCTGCCTCTACCTCTCAAGTGCTGGGGTTAAAGGCGTGAGCCACTACCGCCCAGCAAGGTACGGATGTGTCTTTACTGGGTGTTCCAACACTAAAATGGATATTGAATTGGTTTATTCTTTTGCATCACTATAGACCCAGCATGGAGGGTACCGCTGAAGATGCTACTGACTGGGAGGAGAGAGGGAGGCAGAGATCCATCATCTTTTCTTCCTTTCTTCCTACTTCTTTCCTTTTTATCTATTTGTTGTTGTTTTAATCTTTATTGTTTTTGGAGAAAGAGGTCTCACTGTGTAGACCTGGCTGGCCTCAAACCTCAAACTCATAAGAGATCTGCCTGCCTCTGCCTCCCCAGTGCTAGAACTATTAAAGGTGTGGACCACCATGCCTGGCCCTATTTGTTTTATATGTTTGAGTGTTTTGCCTGCATGTATGTCTATATATCATGTGCATGCCTGGTGCCCATGGAAGTCAGAACTAGAGTTACAGATGATTATGAGCTGCCTGGGTCTTGGGAATCGAACTCAGATTCTCTAAAAGAGACCAGGACTCCTAACTGCTGAGCCATCTCTCTACTGCCTACAAATATTTTTCCATCTGTGAAAAATAAGTAGGCAGATTGAGATTAGCCCTAAACCTTGGTTTACTAATACTGTCCTTTTTGCCTGGAGTTAAGAGTACTAGTAGACCAGATAAACGGGCTTCTCCTTATCTACTCAACTCATTTATTTATTGGCATGTGTTGACTGTAAATCACTTTGGTCTTTTATGTTTGTCGGCATCCTGGCTGTCCACTTGAGTCCAAACTTTCAGAGGGCAGAGACCAGTTCTGTTAAATTTGCTTTGTATGGTATCCAGCAAAAACTACAGGATGGGGTCAGAGATGTCCTGGACTTGGACCCTGGACACCCAGGTTTTAGCTCTGCCCATCTGACTCTTAAAATTAGGACCTTATTTTTATTGGCTGTTAAAAACTTAATCTGGGCTGGGGGGAGTCTAGAGAGATGGCTCAGCGGTTAAGAGAACTGACTGCTCTTCCGGAGGACCCAGGTTCAATTCCCAGCACCCACATGGCAGCTCACAACTGTCTGTAACTCCAAGATCTGATACCCTCATATAGACATAAATGCAGGCAAAACACCAATGCAAATAAAATAAAAATTAATAATTTAAAGAAAAAAGACTGGGCCCAGGTGTGGTAGTGCACGTTTTTTAATCCCAGCATTCCAGAGGTGGAGGCAATTGGATCTCTGTGAGTTTGAGTCTAGCCTAGTCTACACTGGGATTCTCAGGCCAACCAGGACCACATAGTGAGACCTTGTTTCCATTAAAGGCAGTGGGGGAGGCCTCGGGGTCAGACATGGTGATAAATGTCTATAACTGCAGTACTTGGGGGGTGGAGGTAAAAGGATCAGGACTTCAGGTCACTGTTAGCAACCTAGACTTTCTGAGGCCAGTGTAAGTTACATAAGAAGCTGTCCCAAAAAAGTGGGGTGCGTTTCTGTTGGCTTCTACCCACTCTCTTAATTAAAAAAAAAAACAATTAGTGAAGAGTTATCCAAGACCAAGAAACCAGAATGGATGTGCGCTGAAGTCTCCTGTAATGAGGGACAAGCTTCAGTGTGGCCATTGGATGGGGGTGGGGTGGGGATCCTGCTACTTGTTCTTTTCTTGTGATTTGCAGGATTAGCAGCATTGGGAGGCAACCCCCTGCCTGTGGTGAGTGAAGGGGAAAGAGTAAAAAGAGAACAGAGGAACAGGGCTCTCTAGCTGGACCTTCTTAGCTAGACCTGAATCCCAAGCAAGCACTTGCAAAACATGGATCTGTAAAAGTTTCTAGAGGCAAGTCCCAGGGCTCAAGAGAAAGAAAGAAGGAAAAAACTATTACAGAAGATACAGAGACAGAGCTAAAGTTAGGATTCCTTTCTACCATGCACCAAAGGTACTAGTTTTCACTTAATAAGAATATGTGAGGGGCTGGAGAGATGACTTAGCAGATAAGAGCACTGGCTCTTCTTCCAGAGGACTTGGTTCAATTCCCAGCACCCATGTGGCTCACAACTGTCTGGAACTCTAGTTCCAGGGGATCTGGCATCTTCACACAGACAGACATGCAGGCAAAACACCAATGCACATAAAAAAAATTTTTTTTTCTTTTTCTTTTTTTTTTTTCCCCCGAGAAAGGGAGTCCTGGCTGTCCTGGAACTCACTCTGTAGACCAGGCTGGCCTCAAACTCATAGAGATCCACCTGCCTCTGCTTCCCAAGCGCTGGGATTACAGGCGTGTACCACCACCACCCAGCCAATAAATCTTTTCCTTTTTCTTTCTTTCTTTCTTTTTTTTTTTAAAGACTCTGTGACAGTATTTTTTTTTTTTTTTTTTTTTTTTTTTTTTTTTTTTTTTGGTTTTTCGAGACAGGGTTTCTCTGTGTAGCTTTGCGCCTTTTCCTGGAACTCACTTGGTAGCCCAGGCTGGCCTCGAACTCACAGAGATCCGCCTGCCTCTGCCTCCCGAGTGCTGGGATTAAAGGCGTGCGCCACCACCGCCCGGCTGACAGTATTTTTTATTATGTATCTATTTATTATGCATAGTATTCCATCTGCATATATGCCTGCATGCCAGAAGAGGGCACCAGATCTCATTACAGATGGCTGTGAGCCACCATGTGGTTGCTGGGAACTGAATTCAGGACCTCTGGAAGAGCAGCCAGTGCTTTTAACCTCTGAGCCATCTCTCCAGCCCTTGACAGTTTTTTTCGAGTAGGGTTATCAAATCCTCCAGGAGACTAGCACCGTGGGAACTAGGGAACCTGGGTCTTAGTTTGACTCTGTTGTCTACTGGGTTGGGTGACTGGCTAAGCCATCAAAACGTTCCTTGGCTTAAATTTCTCTCATTGGGAAGAATACCTGTTCTGTCTGCTCTTGCAGCTGCTGGAAGATCTGATGAGATAACGGACATAAAGTCCCCACAGGAACCATAGAAGGAGGCAGGTAAAATGGCTCATTGGGTCAAACTTCTTGTCCCCAAGTCTGAGGACCTGATTTCAATGCCCAGACCATATGGTAGAGAGAACTGACTCCTACAAGCTGTCCTTTGACCTCTATACACAGGAGGTGGTCGACCACACACATATATAATCACAAATAACAAAAATGTAATAATTAAAAAAGAGAAACCATAAAGCCCAGTTGAAATGGAAAACTGAATTAATACTGTGATTACTAGGGTCCATCCAAAGAATTGGCCTCTGGATGGAGAGTTGGAACACTTGGAAGGTCACCTCATTCTTTGGCCATCACTCCACACACCCCTCATCCAAACAAGACAGCCTGACCAGCAGAGAGGGTGGAGGAATGGGTCAAGTGTCCAAGAAGACATTCTGAGTTCATCAGACCTCAAGTTCATTCTTACACTGAATTTAATTTTATTACGTGTGCTTACTTTCTCCCGTTCTGCTTGAAGATATCCTCTCCACCTGTTGAAACATGATATAGATTTTAGTGTTTATCCACTGAAAGCACTCACTATTGAAGAATGTGGACCAAAGTTCCAAAACTCTGATCCCTGGAGCCTGGAGTCTAAGTATAATAAAATCCAAACATCTGTTTCTGGAAGGGGCCAAAGACAGAGTCAGCTCTTGGACCCTGTATTTACAAAGTTTCAATCTCTTTCTTAACTTTGTCCCAGACTCAGGTCCTTTTCTTCCCTGGGGAACTGGGTGAGTGGGGGTTGTGGCTGATGTACTGGGAGAAAGTTAGCCCCGTCTATATGGGAATGGTTTTCATGCCGTGGGGGTCAGCTTTAGTCAAAGAACATTAATACTGTCTGTGCTGAATGATAGAAGAAGAAGGCTTGAGAGAAGGCTCAGGAGTTCAGAGCACTTGTTACTCTTCAGAGGACCTGGATTCAATTCCTAGCATCTACTTGGTGGCCTACGACCATCCATAACCCCAGTTCCAGGGGATCTGACAAAGTCACAGGAGCACAGACATGCATGCAGGCAAAATAAACACACGCACACACAAAATAAAAGAAGGAAATATAAAAATAATGGAAGGAGTTCCAACTAAGGTGCGGAGAACTTGAGGAAGTTGTTTCTGGTGGGAAAGGGTTATCCTGACCTTGGGTCTTCCCTATGGAGCCTTCCACCTTGCCACGCCATTTCCTTTCCTAGTACTCTAAGCACTTTCAATTGCAGACACCCTCTTGGCTCTGAGCTCGGATAAATGCTACCTTGTTAGCTAATAGTACCATTAATTATATTAATGATTAATGCTAATTAGTCATAATGTGGTCATACTTCTTACAGTGGAGCCTTCCTTTCTTGCAGCAGTTCTGGGACTCCAGCACACACACACACACACACACACACACACACACACACACACACACACACACACACACTTCCCTATTCCTAACCACAGGACAAGCGCAGCAATCCACTTTTTTTTGCTGACCATCACGGCAGTTTCTAAATTTCTCTAGTTGTTATCAGCGATCCCATTTATCTGGAGAGTGACGACTGCTTATAAGTCCGTCGCTGCGCTGCTTTTATTTACGCCGTGTCACTCACTCTTCCAACAAGGTGGTCGACACTTTTTTAAAAGTTTTTTTTTTTTTTTTAACGTATTCGGCAAGTCAAAGACATTTACTTCCAAATCTCACGCTGACCCACGTTTTCCACCTTCTCCCCCTTTTCACTTTTATCTTTCCCTAGTTCGTGGGATGCCAACCCCCCCCCCCGCCCCCAGATCCCTCGCCTTCAGCATTCAGGCTTCCTTTTGGCAACCACGCTCCCCTCACCCCTTACCCCCCTCCGCCCCCCGCCCCCCCCCCCCCCCCCCCGGCCCGGAAGCGACGCGCATGCGCTGCCCACGCCTTACCTGGGCGCTCGGCAGTGGGCGGAGTGGGCGAGGGCCGGGGGTGGAGCAGGCAGCCGGCAGTTCTGTGCGCGGCTGAGCGCTCACATTGTGGCAGGAGGGAGAAAAGGTGCGCCCGGGCCGAGCCGAGGGCCGCGCATGCGCGCCGACCCCACAGCCGGGGATGGGTGTGTGTGTGTGTGTGTGTGTGTGTGTATGGGGCGGGGGGGGGGGGGGGTGTCGGGATCCCGACCGCGCGCGCGGGGGGGGGGGCGCGAGCGCGCGGGGGCCGCGGGCGGGCGCGCGCGCGCGCTCCCGCCGGCCTCCCTGCCCGCGAGCGCACACATCCCTACAGCACACCCCCCCCCCTCCCTCCCCCCCCTCCCTCCCTCCCTCCCCCCGCCGCCCGCCCCGCGCGCCGCCCGCCCCGCGGCCCCGCTCGGCCTCGCGCGCTCGGAAGGGAGTCGCGAGACGTCGGAGCGGCGGCCACGTAGCGCTGCGGCGGCGGCGGCGGCGGCGGCGGCGGCCGAGGCCGGGTCTGAGGAGCGGCCCAGAGCGCAGACGTTGGGGCAGGGGGAGGGGCCGGCCCGGCGGGCGGTGGGGACTGGAGCGACGCGGCGCGGCGACAGGCCCCCGCCGCAGGGATGGGCCGCCGAGGCGGCGGCGGCGGCGGAGGCGGCGGCGGCGGCGGCGGCGGCGGCCCGGGTGAGTAGGGGCCCCCTTCCCCGCGCTCTCGCCCCCCCGCCGCAGCGGCGGCGGCGGCGCCGTGGCAGCGGCGTTTCCTCTGCGCCTGACCGGGCTGGCGGGGCTGGCGGAGCCGGCGCTGAGGCAGCTGCGTGCGCTAGGCCGGAGCAGCCCCCATCCGGCGGGCAGGCCCCGGGCGCTGCGCGTCTGCGGCCCCCGGCTTAGCCCCGGGTCCCGGCTCCTTCCCCCCCCGCCCCCTCCCTCCGGGACCCCAGCTTGGCTGCAGTTTTGCAGCGAGTGGGCTCGCTTCGAGGCCTGACGGGGTGGCGCGGGGTGCACGGGTTAGCGGGCCGAGGGGAGCGTACTCCTGCCCTGCAGCTGGTGGCTTGCACCCACTACCTCCCCCGCCCTGCGGTTGCACCCAGACCTCCAGTCCTCTGGAGTATTGTGGCACCAGGAGATAACACGCATGTGATGTGCACTCGCTACCGGCAGCACCACATTCAGCCCAGTGGGCGATGCAGACCTTTCTCCACCCCCACTTCGTCCTCCCCTCCAATCAGGCTCAACTGAAGAGTCTCAGATCGGAGACACCAAAGAGAGTGACACCCCTGTTACATCTTTAGGAAACATGATCATGGTCGAGGGATGTCTCCGGTAGAAATGATAGATGTCCCTGCCTCGCCCCGAAGTCAGTCTTCAGGATTTAAGATCCCATATGCTGTTCTTTGAAGCTGGCCAGTCTTTTGAGTACATCTAGCTCATCCCTCCCCCCAACAACAACATCACGAACACGCGCGAGCACACACATATGCACACGCACACTCGTGCACTTCCTGATTACAGAACGGCCCCTGTCATCGCGGATCCATTGTCAGAAATGGCTTGTGCCAATCAAAGGAATGTGCCTTTGGAGGAAGATGTTTTCCACAACCAAGCTACAGGATGTTCCTCTGTCAACCAGTCTTTGGTTGCCCCTGGGTCTTACCCATGTTTAAGCATCGTCATAGTGTTTCCCTTACATGCTTCTCCAGCGCATTCTCAGCATCACCTGAGTGATGCTCCCCCGCCCACCCCTATCCCCCAGTTAATTAGATACTTAACTGCACACAGTAATTTCATCGATTTTTTTTTTGTTCTTGTTGCAACATTTAACATAACAAGGCATAGCCTATGTAAGAAGTGTAATCTTTTGGAATGAAGGTCTGTATACTTTTTTCCGGAGGATGGTTGGGTCCGTATTGTTCAGAGAAAGGCAAAGAGCACATGCTTTGTTGACAGCATGTATGTGTGCTTAGGAAAGGAAAGCTGCCGTTGCTCGCTTGTTCGCTGTGGGCTGAAGGCAGTTAGTTGATGTTCCCCAGTGGGGCTGGTCTGGGATGGATATGTTGCCTTGTGTCAACGGCGGCTTGCTTATTTTTATCACCACTGTGCCCATGTGTTCACATAGATACTGTCCCTAGTATAAAAGATTCACCGCTAAATTTTTGTGATCCTGAACTCTTTCCAGGGGCTGTGGAAGTCTTTAGGACCCTCTTTGCAGTGAAATACATATATAGTTTTGTTTGCATCTAAATAGTCATCTTGAATCTGGTCTTGGAACCTCAAGTTAAGATCTGTGCTATGCAAAAGTGAAAGCAGTTTTGAGTTTGTGTTTTGCTTCTCTTAACCATTAGGTTTACTTTGGCTCTGGACTAAAGAGCAAAGGAACTTTCGTATGTATCATCATTTAGGGTTGTTTTTGTTTTGTTTGTATGCATATTTTATCTGCATCTATGTGTGTGTACCACATGTGTGCCTGGTGCCCACAGAGGTCAGAAGAGGGTGAGAGAGGGTGGTGGAAACCCTGGAACTGGAGTTAAGGATGGTTCTGAGTCACCATGTCGGTGCTGGGAATAGAACCTGGGTCATTTGTAAGAGCAACAAGTGCTCTTAACTCTTGAGCCATTTCTCCGGATGGCTTATCATTGTGTTTTGTTCTTTGGGTAAGTAGGGGCAGTTAGGAATTACAAGACATTTTTCCTGTGAAAAGGGAGGTGGGTGAGAATCAGAAGAAGTTAAAACTAGAGACAAAATAATCTAGATTTGACCAATTGATCGTTTATCTTCCTGGCATATTCTAAAGGTAGCGAATTTCAGCAGTGAAGTGTGTAATGTGTTTTGCAGTGCCAGTATGGGACTATACACTGCTTAAAGACTGAGGCCGATCTCTTTGTTATTCCATGGTAGAGCACCTGTTCAGGGATGAGAATTTTTTCTAGCTTCGCTAAATCTGATTTCATGGTACCATCAAAACCATCCACTTCAATGGGAAGATTTCGGTTATAATTGGAAATTTTACTCTCCCTATTCAGAATCTAGAGCTGAGGATGAACTTTGCACTATTCTGTTAATAAGCAGTTGATAAATGTCAGTTTTTGTGTGTGTTTAAATTACTCAGCTTTTGTCTTTTGATCATATTTCAACCAAGACACATGTGTTCCAGCTTATGACAGTGCTGTGATAGATAGTGTAGTAACCACAGTCCCAGTCTCGAACAGCGTACAGTTTCCACTTTAAAAAAAAATAATAATTAGGGTTCTGAGAGCTTAAGGAATTCCTGGTATTAACTAGCATTTTGAAAAGCAGGAGAGGCTTGGAATCTTGCACAGAACCTGTTCCACACACCTGGAGAATAGCATTTATTCTAATAATTATTCAGTGTGCTCTGTGATGTTTAAAAGTATGCTGAGGTTGCATATGTTGCATTTTTATTACCTACTATGCATGACTGAAGTGACTTATATTACAGACTATATTTTTTTGTTGGTGGCACGCCTGTAGTTTTTATCATCTGAATTACTTGCCTATCCTAAACTCAAAGGACTTCAAAGTTTCAAATGTGTTACTTGTCTTTGTCAGTGATTGTAATGTTGGGGGAGGACCCCTGGAGTCTCAGGGAACAATGTGCTTGCTTGGTTTAGTTTTGCAGCACCTATTCTAACCAGTCACTTCCCTAGTTAAACATCCACACACCATGGAGCCGCTGATCAGGTAACACTTAGGGCTGTGAGGACAGCATTCTCTCTCTGCTTGCCAGATTCAGGACGTGGAAGCTGGGAAACAGTTGTGCAGCATAGCAGTGAGACATTGGAGGAGGAGTGATTGCCAGCAGCTCACCCTCATTAGGACCAACAGCATCGGTTTCCTCAACACTCTTCAGACAGCCTTCCCTTAGGAGGTTTCAGACCAGCAGCTCCTGTCTGCAACTGTTGCCTCAAGATCTGTTTCCAGACACCCGGAGCAGGTTCCGTTTGTGCTCTAAGTTTGGGGAGTAAGCTTGTAGTGTGGTAAGAAAATAATTTTCAAGTCAGTAGGATATATATATATAATATAATATATATATATTATATTATATATATATATACACACACACACACACACATACATACCTGTTTGTGTATGTGTATGTGTATATATACAGGTAGAGATATAGATTAGTAGGGTACTGATGTGACTTTTCGGTTTTACATGTCTGAAGCCTATTGAAGAAGTAAACTATAATGTAAACTATATATACCTTCCTCTCTTTTCTCGTAGGTTTTTTGATGATTACCAAAATTGAGGATATATGCTTGAGTTTCTTTTCCCTTGTTCTAAAAGGTCAGTTGAAAGATAGCCAGAAAGGGGTGGAGGAAAGAGTGGATTGTCTTGAGTTTGAGCAAACAGTCTTTGAAACTAGTTCTTCTGGAGTAGGTAGCTACATCTCCTTGGTAACTCCTGGGTTGTGTGCCACTGTTTTAGGTATGATGTTTTTCTTTGCTTTTGTGTGTGTTGAGTTTGATGGGGATGAACTGGTCTTGTATTTGGTGATTTTAGCTAAAGGAAGAGTTCCTTGGAACCAGGCAGACTAGGCTGACATTGTAGTCTTACTGTTTATTGGCCTTATGGCACTGGGCAAATCACCTGATTCTTTCTGCCTCTGTTTTCTCGTCAGTACAGTGAGATTTCTTGTGAGGGTTCAAGATAAAGTACGCAAATTCCCAGCACTGGGCCTGCTATATGTACAGGTCAGGACCTCAATAAGTGGTGGGATCCGGAGCTTGTAAGTGTGAAGCTAGAGTGGAGGTCATTGTAACTTAGGACAAGACTTAGAGCTTTGTATGTCTTGGTTTGTGCTGATTTAGGATGAAAAATTGCAAATATTTGACTTGGAGCTGGACTGCGACTTGACGGTTCAACGTGATTATTAGAAAGTTGATTTGTTAGTATCAAACTTGGTAGAGACAGTAAATTCTAAATTCTGCAACATTACCTCTCAGGCTGTGCTTGTTTTTAAGTCTGTTCAGACTTATGTGGTAAAAAGGGTGTTTTAGGACATTAACATACCTCAGTGAGTTCTGTGTCCAGAATCGAATCACATGTGTAAATTCTCGTGGTTAGTGCAAGCCATGAAGTGCTTGGTAGAGTCA